AACCACACCTAAAACAAAAACAAAAGCAAACCAAACAAACAACTAGAACAGGAAAAGAACCACAGAAATGGAGAGCACATGGAGGGTTATCAATGAGGGAGTGGGCGGGGGAGAGAGGGGGTAAAGGTACAGAGAATAACTAGCATAGATGGTAGGTAGAAAGTAGACAGGGGGAAGTTAAGAATAGTATAGGAAATATAGAAGCCAAAGAACTTATAGTACAACCCTTGGACATGAACTAAAGGGGGGGGGATGTGGGTGGGAGGGGGTGCGCAGGGTGCAGGGGTGTGAAGGGGGAAATGGAACAACTGTATCAGCATAACCAATAATATGTATTTAAGGAAAAAACAATAAAGTGGAAACCTGTCCATGAAAATGACTGAACGGACTCCTAATGTTAGGCTAAGTCCTCTCCCTCCATGAAGATTTGGCATGAAGATCTGGTGTCCTACTCATGAGAACTTATAAGTTACTTATCTTCTTTATAATTCTGTGTCCTTAGAAGTAAAATTGTAGTCATACTTTCTTCAGAGGGTCTTTGTAAGAATTAAAAGAAATAGGCCCTGGCTGGTACTCAGTTGGTTACAGCATCATCCTGATACTCCAAGATTGTGGGTTCATCCCCGGTCAGGGCACATACCAGAACCAACCAATGAATGCATAAATAAGTGGAAAAAACAAATCAATGTCTCCCTTTTTCTCTCTCTCTTTCCCCCTTCTCTAAAATCAATTTCGAAAAAAAGAATTAAATATAAATGAAATAATGAACACAGTGCTCTCCATATAAGAAACACTATTGCCATTTAGTGTTACCACAACCATGACCATCACAATTCCAAATGTCTCTTCACGGAAAAAAGACCCACTACATTTAGGTAAAACCAGTATTGCTCAATAGTTAACAGTCTAAAATTAAAGCCATTAATATGTTTTAGTAGTTTTGTCCTAAAGTTTGTACTTAACACTTTCAATTAACTCATAGTAAGTAATACAGTTTTAAAAATATGATACACAGCGCCCTGGCTGGTGTAGCTCACTGGATTGAGCACGGGCCTTTGAACCAGACAATCGCGGTTCGATTCCCAGTCAGGGCATATACCTGGGTTGCAGACCAGTTCCCTGCAGGCCAGTTCCCAGCAGGGGATGCAAGAAAGGCAACCATACATTGATGTTTCTCTCCCTCTCTCCTTCCAAAGATAAATAAATAAAATATTTTTAAAAAAAATATGATACACACGGACCAAAAAGGCTACTTACTTGCTCTTTTGGCTAGTTAGATCTATCATGTTAAAGCTATTAAACATGATAAAAATCAACATGTTAAAAAAATATCAGCCCTCACTGGTGTGGCTCAGTGGATTGAGAGCCAGCTTGTGAACCAGTCGCTGGCTTGATTCCCAGTCAGGGCACATGCTTGGGTTTAGGACCAGGTTCCCAGTGGGGAGCAGTCAAGAGGCAACCACACATTGATGTTTCTCTCCTTCTCTTTTCCCCTTCTTTTCTCTCTGTATAAATAAATAACAGTTTGAAAAATATTGGTTATAAAAGTCAAATCAAATCATACTCTTTTTTAGCTATTCTGCAACTCTGGGTTTGTTTGCTTGTGTGTGTGTTTTTATCTCTAGAATTAGAGAAGGTGAGTGGTAAAGGCGACTGTGGGAAATGCTGTCTCAGTCTCTTATGAGAAGGCAATACCTGCTTGTGCGTTCAGGGAACTGTGTGAAACCCAGTGAGCTGATTCTGTAACAGTGCCAGGGAAGAAAAAAAGGCTTTGCAAGTCAAAGTTGTCCTTCAGGTTGAGTAGTGACTGGCCCTCTGATAATTCATTTGGAGGCCTTAACCTGGAAAATTCCTCTCCCAGCAGGGGTGAGAATCAAAGAGAGATTCTATTTTCCCGTCAGACCAAAGCCACTCATGACCTTGTACCTGCCTCGGTTTGGTCACCATTTGTTGTTTTGTGTGAATTTAACTGCTAAGCCATCATAAAATGGTTGAACAATAAATCTTCAGCAAACAGCTTTTCAGTGAACTTCTGAAGCTGAGGGACATTTGAAAGTTGTGAGAGTAGGAGGTTTTTGGGAATTGGAAGAGTTATCAGGTAACATTTAGTCAGGAAGATATCTTTTTATTATGTAAAATCACTAAGAAGTTTAGGTCCTTAAATCTATAGCTTCTGAGTGAGTCTAAAGGCAGTGTCAATGGTCTTTTCAACACATAGGACCAGGTCATCCCCAGCATTCATGAAAAAGATGATGGTTATACAACATTGTGAACGCACCGAATGCCGCCAAACACATTTAAAAAATGGTTGTCTTATGTGAATTTCAATTTTTAAAATATAGGGGGGAAACACAGGAACACACACCACCAGAGCCATCAAAAATATAGGGTTTTTGTTTCACTTGTGCTGGTTTTCTGGCACTCTAGATAATCAAAACAGAAACTTTCTTAGGGTTTTAACTTTGAGCAAATGAAGACAGAAAGGCAGATAACTTTTTTAAAAAATCATCACCAGAGGATATGTATATTGATTTTAGAGAAAGAGGAAGAGAAAGACAGAGAGAGACATCTATGTGAGAGAGAAACATCAATCAGTTACCTCTCATATGCACCCCAACTGGGGATCAAACCCACAACTCAGGTATGTGCCCTGACCAGGGATGGAACCTGCAACCTTTTTTGGTGTATGGGATTATGCTCCAACCAAGTGAGCCACCTGGCCAGGGCAAGGCAAATAACTCTTTGTAAATAGTAAAACAGCTGTAACCTAAACAAAATTTTAAAGGCCAATTTGACATGGCTCATCAGATATCCTTAAACAGGATCCAGGAGCAGCCACTGTTTCATTACCTCCTCTGTAATGTTTCTGGGAACCTACATTGCCACAATCTGCCCCTACCCCAGGGTGATCAAACGTGGCAGGGTACTCCAGGGTAATCAATCACATGACGCACCACCCCATCATACTCATGGACCAAGGGAGCAATTGCTGGGCCAGACATAGCCCTGAAGTGGCCTTGAGCAAGTGTCCACCCCATAGGGGCAGCTCTAGTGGACTGTGAAGGCTGTCCAACAGATGCACTCCCAGGGTGTTTGATACAAGACACAAGGAGAAAGTCTGCTGGTGAAGGCAGGAGCAGTAGCTTCCGAGGCCAAATATCTGAGTCTCCATCATGGTGGAGCCCCAAAGCAGGAATTCATGACTGCCCAATCCTATAGCTTCCCCTACTAGATATTGCTGTGATGATGTCACCAGAGCTGCTATTGAAGTTATGGGGCAATGACCTCATTCAGACCATCTTACAAGGTCTGACCCTGTAGCCTGAGACAACATTCTGACTTCTGGAAATAATCTAAGGAATGTCTGTCCCTTGAAACCAGGAAGAATCTAATTTACAGATAAGTGCTACGAAAGGAAGCATCCAAAGGATTTGGGCTGCTCTTCCTTTCCTGGCGAAGGCTGGGAGGGCTGCTCTCTGATGCTGCTGCTAGGGCAGCACATTCCTTCTCTTCCACTGCTTTGCCAGCCTCCACTACAGAAGCTGAAAAACTGAAATACTTCTTTCCCGTTCTTCCACAGCTAAGTGTGGCCAAGTGACAAGTTCTCACTAGTGAGACATAATGGAACTCTTGGGAGGTAAGGGGGAGTGTCTGAGGAAGCTTTTACTTCTATATGAAACAGCCAGGCCCGAAAGCTGCAGCCGTTGGCACCGCCCCTCCCCCATCCTCCTTTACAAACGTGGTACCTGGAGCGCTACCACAAAATTATAGCAGAGGACTCGAATGCTAAGAATGGCTAAACTGCCAGCAGCTTCTTACCTCCAGACATCTTGTTCTGTTAGAAAAATAACACTATTTAGCTAGGTATCTTTACTTGCAGTTTTCCTGACCAATAACATTATATATATGTAAAACTAATAACAAAATATGTCCTTACAGACTTATAATTTCCTTAAGTAAATTTTTTAGCTAATTGCATGTTATTCAATCCACAGTAGAGTCCAATCATTTCAAATACTTCTAATACAATCTCCAGTTTTAAAAATTACTTTTGGTTTTGTTAAGGAGAGGCACACAGTGCACTCAGCCTCTGCACAAATCAGTGCCCAGGCTCTGCAGAGGGGCCTCAAAGGGACATTGCAGTGTGGGCTAGTGTACACAGTTCATGCAGTAAGGATGTGAAAAACTTCTGTACATAATTAAGCACATGTAATCACTGCTTCTGTGAAAGAGAGCTATTCTTAAAGCCAGTGCAGCCCTACATAAAATTCTCAGGGAATGATTCTTAGAGAAATACAATGCCACACACATATTAAATGTGTTCCCCAGATGTTCAATATATTTGTGAGCTAAAGGGTATGCACTTAGCTAGCCCAGATGACATGGGCTCTAAGTCAAACACAACAAATGCTAGTTAACTAACAAATTTTTCTACAGAGGGCAGAACAAGCAGCAGCCACATTTCAATTCCTTGCTTTGCTGGAACTGAAAACAGTGTTGTTTTCTCTCATTATCACTGGATTTCTCTCATTATCACTGTCCTTCCCCACAGGTCAAGTCATTTCTTACTTGATGGTTTGTCACATGAACATGCATTCCTCTTAGAGTGGGCAAATGGCAAACTTGTCCTATTAACACCACAGAAGGGTTTTGAACTGATACAGGTGTCTGTATAACCAGGAACCCTGGACTTAATTTGGATTTTCCAGAAGCCTGGGGAAAATTCTGCAGCTAGAACTACAAGGACCCAGATTACAATGTCACCCTTTCACCTATTTACCTAGACAGGGTTAACTAGACCTTGGCTGGGGTACATTGATCAATCTGAGAGACTACCCTCCACTTTGATGTCTCTTTCTCAAATTAAAAAAAAATAGTGTTGCATAAACGGGATGACCCTTTCCCCAAATATGTTTCCTTTCATCAAAATTCATGGAAAAATAAATTAATGATGGTTTCTGTGTGGTGTCCACGGTCCTCTTTCCATTCATGCTATAAAGAAAACAATCTTTATGGAGGAGCAGCTGTACTCCCCGAGCTTTCCCCAGGGTTTCGGTGACCAGATTGGTGTTTGGGGAGCTGCCCTTGGGGGCAGGGACAGTGGAGAAGTTCCGGCTGCAGTCAGACCTGCTGAGAGTGGACATCATTTCCTGGGGCTGCACCATCACGGCCCTGGAGGTCAAAGACAGGCAAGGCAGAGCCTCAGATGTGGTGCTTGGCTTTGCCAAGTTGGAAGGCTACCTCCAGCAGCAGCCCTACTTTGGAGCAGTGGTCGGCAAGGTGGCCAACCGCATTGCCAAGGGGACATTCATGTTAGACAGGAAGGAGGTCAAGCTGGCCATTAACAAGGAGCCCAACAGTCTGCATGGAGGCATCAGAGGGTTTGATAAGGTCCTCTGGACCCCTCAGGTGCTATTGAATGGTGTCCAGTTCTCACGGGTCAGTCCAGATGGTGAGGAAGGTTACCCAGGGGAGCTGAAAGTCTGGGTAACATACACGCTGTGGGGAGCTCGTGGTCAACTACCGAGCTCAGGCCAGTCAGACCATGCCAGTCAGCCTGACCAACCATTCTTATTTCAACCTGGCGGGCCAGGGCTCCCCAAATATCTATGACCACGAAGTCACTATAGAAGCTGATGCTTTTTTGCCTGTGGATGAGACCCTGATTCCTACAAGAGAGGTTGTGCCAGTACGATGAACTGCATTTGACCTGAGGAAGCCAGTAAAGCTTGGGCAACACCTGCAGGCGTTCCACATTAGTGGCTTTGACCACAATTTCTGTCTGAAGGGATCTAAAGAAAACCACTTTTGCGCTCGGGTCTGCCATGCTGGAAGCGGGAGGGTACTGGAAGTACACACCACCCAGCCTGGGGTTCAGTTCTACACGGGCAACTTCCTGGACGGCACCCTGAAGGGCAAGAGTGGAGCAGTCTACCCCAAGCACTCCGGTTTCTGCCTCGAGACCCAGAACTGGCCTGATGCAGTCCATCAGCCTCACTTCCCCCCTGTGCCGCTGAGGCCTGGTGAGGAGTATGACCACACCACTTGGTTCAAGTTTTCTGTGGCTTAAGGAACTACAAAGATATAACCTGCTCCAGAGCCAGGCTGGGAGCTCCATCAGCTGCTGCCTGTCTTCTATTCAGAAATGAGATGATGAAGATTAGAGGCATTATTAAAATGATCCTGTGATTTAAAATCATATAAATGGTTGCTGTCATGATATCAATCAATAACCAGTCTAAATATTGATTTCCTTCCCAGTGACTGGCTCCAGGCCAGGTCTAATGACCAGCTCTATTCTCTGTGTTGTTAAGAGGACCCAACTACCAATCATCATCCAGGTTCTAATCCTAGCCCAGAAATGGCACCTGGACCCCCGTGTTCCATGGGTTCTATCTCACCACTGTGCCTCTTTCTTTTCTACTTTTCACCCCTCTTTTGAGTCTATTCCCTCATTTTTTCTCTTTTTATAAAAAGCATCCACCTGAGTTTAACTGTCTCTGAGCCTTGTAAGTGGTGTGACTCAAAGTACAAGAATCTGTCATTTTGATTCTCTGCCTTTGAAGTTAACTGAGAAAGCCCAGCCCAGACCAGCCAAGGTACAGAAAAAAGGAAGCCATTGGGAGTCAGCTATGTGTCTATGAGGACAGGGCATTCCACGACGATTGCACACCACACCTGGAACAGGTGCTATGTAGATGAGGCTGGGCTCCCTGTTTTCCTGAAGAGCTGAATCATCAGTGATAGGTATGGGTTGGTGGCTTTTAAAGAAATGTGTTTTTATATACTAGCATTTAGTTGAAATTAAAAAAACAACCCCCCCCCAAAAAAAGAAAAAAAATCTTTATGGGATGGCCAGAAGGCTTTTCTAGTTGTGACTATATCATACACAGCATGGTGTGAGTGCTCACTAAATGTTAGGTAAATTCTAATCAGTAAAGCTACCCTGGAAATTTACAAGATTAGGCTGAGAATTGTTTTGTGTCCTTCATTTTCTGTGAGAACACCATGGGAATATCATCAGGATTTGTTCATAATGAATATCTCCAAGTTTGCACATTATTACTTGCTCTCACCCACTAACAACACTTTACCTTAAAATGAGCCATAACAGCGGACTCTCCACAAGAATAAGAAGGTAAATTGTCTCTCTGTGGTGTTTCCACAGCCCGCCATGGGAAGGATGTAATGAGACGCCCCTATATGGGACAGTGGGATTTTTCTACTGCTAATTTTGTCTGACTATAGTTTGCAAGTTTAACTTCCTTTGAAGATCCATCTACATTTAATTCTCTAGTCCAGGAAGCTGGAATTGAATTTCCAGCCACAAGTGTGTATCTATCTTGAATCTTGAGTCTTGTTTCCTTTTGTGTTTTGTAGAGAATAAAACAGAACAAGAGAAAACATGCCCATAAAAAATTATAAAACCTGTGAACACAAGGTAAAAATAGAAATGCCCATATTTGACCATGAGTCCTATGTGCTGCCATGGAAAATAAATATTATTTCCTCATTTTGTTCATTTATATATTCATGCATTCATGCACTTAGCAATTACCAAGTAAGTGCATGATAGGTACAAGGGGGAGAAGTGCCTTTGCCTTGACAGATTTACTGTTTGATGGAAGAAAAAAAATAACTCTGAACTTACATAACAGTCCGAAGAAGCTTCTGAAAGGCTTCCTGGCAGAGAGGACACTTGAGGTGAACAAGTCTTAAAGCATGAATGTAGGTTACACGGTTGAAGTGCTCAGATAAGACAGTGAGAGTGGGACAGGCAGAGCAAAGGCAGGAGAGATGAAGGAGGTAAGAATCCACAGAACAGCCCTGGCTGGTGTGGCTCAGTGGATTGAGTGCTGGCCTATGAACCAAAGGGTCTCCGGTTCCATTCCCAGTCAGGGCACCTGCCTGGGTTTCAGGCCAGGTCCCCAGTGGGGTTTACACAACAGGCAGCCACACATTGATTGAAGTTTCTCTCCCTCTCATTCTCCCTCCCTTCCCCTTTCTCTAAAACTAAATAACCAAAATTAAAAAAAAAAAAAGAATTCACAGAACAAGACACTAAGAGGCAAATTATGCGCCAGAGACAAATTGAGTTTGAGATTGATTCCCTACAGCAATTTGTGGCATGTACTAGCTCAGTACTAATAGCAGCATGTGTCCACAAGAGATGAGGACACATGGTAGAGGTTCAAAAGAGGCAAGTCTGGGTGACCTCCATTTACTTCTTCCTCAAAGATGGACTTCTTTAACACAGATGTTGCCCCAGCACTCTCCCCAGTTAACCTTCTCAAAGGGTTCTATTGAGCCCTAGGAATGCAAATCATACCAGATGCAGGGGTGGGTGTAACCAGGTCTGTTCACAGGGATCTTCCACCCTAAAACCCTGGAGTTAGAAGCCCTGGCTTAGTGGGATTATGGATGCCCACAGTTAGAACACAGGGTGTGACAGGCCCAGGCCTGAGGGTTTGCAAAGCAGAGGAGCAGCTGAGTTCAAATGAAGGATGCATCAGCTTCCACATTCCTCTCAGCTTTTCATAACTGTGCCACACGTTGCCCCAGACCTTTACCCTGAATGTTGTGCCAGGTTCCAACACAACAGGGGCTTATTCTGACCCAAAGTGAAAGTAGCTAACCTATTTTGTAGAGCTCAGAGCTGCTCTACCAAAAATTAAGCCTTTTAACCTTGGTCTAGTGGCTCTGTTGGTTAGAGCATCTTCCTGATACACCAAGGTTGTAAGTTTGATTCCTGGTCAGGGCATGTACAAGAATCAACCAGTGAATGCATAAATAACAAAATATTTCCCTCCCTCACTCTCTCTTTCTCTCCAGTCAATTTAAAAAATTAGGAACACACCAAGGCACATTATAATTACATTAGCCAAGATTAAAAATAAGGAGAGAATCTTAGAAGCAGCAAGAGAAAAGGAGACAATTGCCTATTAAGGAGTTCCCATAAGACTGTCAGCTGATTTCTCAAAAGAGACCTTATAGGCAAGAAGGGGCTGGAAATAAGTATTCCAAGTAATGAAAGGCAAGGACCTACAACCAAAATTACTCTATCCAGCAAAGCTTTCATTTAGAATGTAAGGGCACATAAAGTGCTTCCCAGATAAGGTTAAGTTCAAGGAGCTCATCATCACCCAGCGCTTATAATGTGAAATGTTAAAGGGACTTATCTAAGAAAAAGAAGATCAAAATTATGAACAGTAAAATGACAACACACTTATAACTATTAATAACTGAACCTAAAAAACAAAAACAAAAACAAACTAAGCAAACAAGTAAAACAGGAACAGAATCACAGGAATGAAAATCACATAGAGGGTTATTAGCTGGGAGGGGGAAGGGCAGAATGGGGGGAAAGGTACAGGGAATAAGAAGCATAAACAGTAGGTACAAAATAGACAGGGAGAGGTTAAGAATAATATAGGAAATGGAGAAGCCAAAGAACCTATACAACCCATAGACATGAACTAAGGCAGCAGGGAATGCTGGTGGGAGGAGAAGTGCAGGGTGTAGGGGAATAAAGAGGAGAAAAAAATGGAACTTTAATAGCATAATCAATAAAATATACCTTAAAAAAGGAATCCTTACATGCAGAGAACCAACTTAAGTTACACTTGAGTATTTTGTATTGTAAACTGAATCATGAGGTGCTATTAATTGAGAAATGACTTTGCTATAGGACCAGTTAGAGCTGGCAAAGGCAGCTCTATGCAAAAACTACTGTGGAATTAAGCTAAGGAGGCCATCCTTTTAAAGATTTCTGGGGAATTGCTAGAAAACAAAGAGCATGTCCTAGTGCATCTTCCTCCTCAGTATCTGCTGCACATAGTCCCCTCATACATGCCCCTTAATCAGGCCATTAGCATCTACCTGCACTGCTGTAGCAGGCACCTGCTGGCCCATTGCTTCAGAGCCTGCCCAGATGACTTTACCTCTTCACTGCATCCCAGTCAGAGAGAAAGCCTGTATGTTTCTCTCCCCTTTGGGTTCCCTGCTGCCTCCAGAACAAAATCCAAACGCCTGGGCACAGACCCAAGGCTCTTCTTGACCTGGCTGTCTGCTTGGGCTTCTTTTTCTCCACACAAAGGCACACTGGGCTTTGCTTCGGTAAAGGACGAGTGATTTGCCACTTGTACAGTACTCATGCCTCCCTGCATTTGTGCTGGGGCTTTCTGCCTCCCACTCCTCTGTCCTACTAACTCCCTGTGGTAGTTGTTTACTTTTTGATATCTAGGTCTCTTACAAAATGCCTCTGCATCTCCCCTCATCAAGAGATGGAGTCTATTTCCACACCCACTACATCAGACTGACCTGGGACTTGCTTTTATCTTTAGAATGTGCTGAGAGTGTGTTCTGAGCCTGGGCCTCAAGAGGCCTCCAACTTTGTTCACTCTCTTAGATTCTTAATCCAACTGCTGTGTCAATACGACCCTCATTTTTGGATGTAAATGAAACAACAAAACCTGAGGCTTGGGGTATTATTTCCTATGTAGCCTCTAAAATGCTGGATAGAATAAACTACAAGTTCCAGGCTTCCCAATAGTCACAACCTCCCCAGGAGAATATGCCCAGGAGAAGTGCTGAGGACTTCTCCAGTGTGTGTTGCCCTGACAACCTGGATGCCACAGGCAGGACTCCGCAGAAAAGAAATTCGTAAGGCTAAGGCTAAGGCTAAGGCTTAGGGGTAGGGAAGTGACTGATGGAGAGAAACACAATATTCTGTCCGCTTCTGCTGCTCAGAGGATTATGGGAGTAGAAAGAGACTCTTTAAAAGCAGAGCATGCAGAAATGCCCTGTACTTTTGCTCCCCCATCCCCTGGCTGGTGTGGGTCGAGGGCTGAGGTTCCTGAGCCTGTGGCCTTTGCTGAGAGGATTCCCCATAAGCCTTCCCAAGTGCTCCAAGACCTGCCTGGCTGGCTGTGTAGCAGTTTCTGGTTAAGAAGGCAGGGGGAAGGCTCACACCTGAGGGCCCAGAGGGCTCAGGGAGCATGGCCCTCGAATCCAGAGTCCCTTCCCCAGAAAGGAAGCCATGGTGGCTATTGCCCGCTCATAACCCACACCAGTGTGCACTTGCTGGGTATGACCTCAGAATAGCTAGGAGACAGGCCTCACACCCCTCCCCAAGCTCTCTGGGCCTGA